AGAGTGAAGCAGTTTCACAGTAAATTCGAAGTCACAAGAAAAATAAAGTGTCTTAAGTGAGGCAAACAATAAGAAAGAGCATCACAGTACCTCTTTATCTATTTGCAGTTTTACATGCTTTTGAACTGCTAGGTTGGCAAAAGCTGAGATTAGTGTCAGGAGCTCACTCTGTCATACGGCACTTGGATCTCGAACTGCTGATCAGCCAAACTTCCAGTTGTCAGAGTTGGTATCTTAAATGCTAAGCCACCACATCCCCAAAATCCAGCATCCCTGGGTGGGCCATATCCATAATTATTTGGTATTCACAATCCCTTTGTCTTCCCTAGTTCACAGGTTACATAGGGATTGTGAAAATCCCCCAGTCTCTATCTTCTGGAAGCAGCCACTGTGTATGATGGTGGTCCATTCCTGCTGTTGATCAGGAATCAGAAGACTGATGTTTGCAACCTCCTCCCCCCACCCAGCAAAAAAATCCCTGGTCCAATGGGGGATTACAACAGGGACCCTGCTTCTGTCTTTTGTAATGGAGATCATTCATAGGAAGGAGTGATAACTTCAGTCATCTGTTTCCCAAGCAGTAAGGGAGTGGACCCCCATTGATCACAGTGGTTACTACTCAGTAACTGTAGGTATGGGGTGGTCAGTCTGAGAGTCACTCCATCATTATGTAAGTATTTGGTTAAGTACTAGTAAGTGCCCAAGTGGATTCTGGCCAGTATATGTAGATAAACCCCAACCATCTAAATAGGTTCTTGTGGAGACAAAATCTATTTTCTTAGGTTAACAGGGAAATATTTAAATAATAATTTACCAAAAGATAGCAATATCATACATAAAGTTGTGCATACTTTCCTTGCTATTTGTGTCATGTAGCTAGAAGTACAACACCACCTGCTGTTCCAAAGCTGCATTTTTAAAACTGCTTTTTCCCCCTTCCAGTATCTTGATTGCAGTAAGTTAATCAGAATTATCTACACCGGGTCTGGAATCTGATTAGTTAGTCCCAATCAGAGTAAAACCATTAAATATTTTTTGAATGGTGGCACATGTCTAAATCCCATTGGATTCGATAGGTCTATTGTAGTTGGGACTACTAATTGGATTTAATCATTCAGAAAATCACTCTGGGAAACAATAGAACTCTTAAATGAGAATATGTGTTGTTTGTATGCTTTCTAAGTGTGATGATTTTCATCAGTCAAGGATTTCTCTCCCCATGGTTTCTCAAAACTTAAAAAAAAGTTTTTGACAGTTTTTCAAATATTTTTAAATATTATTTGCAGTCCTGCAAAGCAAACAGACCATGTCTGTATTAATGAGACTATATCACTAACTTTGCTTTCCTCTTCATTTGATATAAATGAAAAATTCCAGAAGTTAATTGAGCAGTTTGGATATTTTGGCTGTTAGATCTGTGCTACAACTATTTGGAAGTAAGCTCAATTCATTCCAGGGTGAGAGGTAGTTTTGAACAGCCATTCATTGGTTTGTAAATTTTAAAATGAATACTTGATTGTGTTCTTGTGGCAGATTGCATGACTGGAGGGAAGCAGGAGTTACCTTTATTCAGCCAGTAAAATATCATGACAAATATTTTACATCACATTAACATTTTTCATAGTTGAATATCAACTTTAATTTTGTGAATTTATAGCAGAGAGCTTCATCCACTGACCAAAAACAAAAACAAAACAAAAATAATGGACCAGTGTTTTATAGTCATCTATAACCTGTCACTGGTCCCAGCTTCTGCCAACCTAGCAGTTCAAAAGCATGCAAATGCAAGTATAGGTACCACTTTGGTGAGAAAGTAAACAGCTTTCTTTGCAATCATGTGGGCCACATGATCACAGAGTAGTCTCCGACAATGCTAGCTCTTTGACTTAGTCACGGAGATGAGTACTGCCTCCTACAGTCAGACATGACTTGACAACCTTGTCATCAAGGAATACCTTTACCTTTATAACCTGTCTAGGAAGTTTTGAAACACTGCATAGTATCAGTGTAAAACTCCAAGGTTCCTCTAGTCAAACCCCCTGCCAATGCAAGAATCTATAGCTAAAATTTCTTGAGGAACAGATCATCTAACTGTTTGAAAACCTGAATTCCTTCAGAGTTTTATCTCTTTTGACCTTCTTTGACATTTTGCCTGCATCTGTAGCTGGCATCTCCAGAGGGTAGCATGGAAGTGGTGTGTGTTTGGTTGAGAGGAAATGATTTACTTATTAATCTCTGTGTTGATCTGTTGTGAATGGCAAGGCTTCAGGGTGGGAGGATATAGAAGATGGATGTGTGTCTAATTAATTAGGAATCCTTCTTCTGCTGCGGAAATCCCCTGACCCTGGGTGGTGTTCATTTACATGAATTTAGTCTTGATTTTGGTGTTCTTCAGGACTGGTAGCCAAGCTTTGTTTACTTTCAGTGTTTCTTCTTTCCTGTTGAAGTTGTCCAGGTGTTTGTGGATTTCAATGGCCTCCCTGTGCATTCTGCCCTGGTAGTTGTTGGCATGATCCAGAATTTTCCAGTGTTTTCAAATAGCATTCTATGTCCAGGTTGGTTTATGATGTGTTCTGCTACTGCCAATTTTTCTGGCTGGCTTAGTCTGCAGTGTCTCTCATGTTCTTTGGTTCATGTTTGGATGCTGCATTTAATGGTCCCTATGTAGACCTACTCTCAACTGCATGATATGTGGTAAAGTCCTGCAGCTGTGAGATGGTGTCTCCTGTCCTTTGCTGAGTGCAGCATTTGCTGGATTTTCTTAATTAGTCTGTATATCATTTGGAGGTTGTGTTTCCTCATCAGTTTCCATATTCTGTCCATTACTCCTTTGATGTATGGTGAAAATACCTTCCCCTTGAGTGGTTGTTTGTCTTCACTCCTGTGGTTTTTACTGGGTCTGGCAGCTCTTCTGATGTCTGGGTGTTAGTCTGTAGAGTCCAGTTTAAGTACTTCAATTCATCTTCCAGGAAGTCTCTTTAAGCTTATCAAAATTGGATTTTTTACTGTCCAGTGGAAATGTCCATCTCCATTCAAATTTTCCATTCCTATGGTTAATGAATCTCAGGAGAACATGGTAACTTCCACCCAAGTTTTACACTAATTCCACATTGTTGACCAATTCTTCCCTGCTAGTGAGAAGAAGGTGAGTGGAAACTGGAGACATTTTGGCTCAGTGTGGGTGGGTACAGCCTGTAGAGCTGTGGCAAACCAGCCACTGTCTCCCATACAGTTTCCTGTGCCTGGTGTGGAGGCATTTGATACAGTGGCTTATTTCCTTCTGCAGCTTCCAGTTGTTTCTTCCTACCAATTTGAAGAGTTTTGATTTATTTTGTTTCATTGTTTTGCTCATTTTTCCTCTTTACTTTCAAAATAAACAATAACAAATGAAAGGCAGAAGGCAGTACAGACAAGTATAAATGAATTCCCTCCAGGCATTGTAACTTATGTGTGCATAAGAAATAAGAGGCAAGATCTGTGGAGAAATTAAATAGGTATATTGGAATGCATTCTTTCCTAAAATAGATTCTTAATGGTTGAGTTAAAGAAGCCTGCCTAGCAATGTAGTCAGATAAAGGCTATATTGCTTATATTAAGCAGTCTTACACTGAGTCAGATCAATGGTACAACTAGGACATCATTGTTTACTCTGATTGTCAGAGACTATATTAGGTCTCACATATACCTCCTGCTCAATATTTTGTTGCCAGAAATTGAATTTTGAGATCTTCTGAAAACAAAATATTTGTTCTATCATTATGCTGTGGGCTGTCTCAGTGATAGCAGTCTGTGTTTAGAAAAGTAAATATATTGTCACTGAAATGTGGTTTTTTTCATCATAATTAGGCATCCTTTGCTCATTTCAGCTGCCCATTAAATACATTCTTATGAACAGAACACTCATTTTTTTAAAACCACAACATTCCCAAGCTACCTTGATTTTCCACTTTAAGCACATCATCAACAAACTGACCCAAGAGTATGTATTTGTACAGTTGTGATGTGTTTTCTGTCCTGAAAGACTTCAAACATGGTTTCTAAACTAACAGCCTCTGCAGATGGCACACAGCACTGTCTTGGAGGCAGGGAAGGGGAGGGGCAGCCACATGCCAGGCGCCCCAACCCCTTCCCAAGGACATGGCGGGCGCTCCGATGACGTCCTTCCAGCTCAGCATCCAGACACACTGAGCTGGAAGAGGCACAAGAGAGCCACATGGTGGCTCGTTGGGTGTCCCTTGTGGAAGGAATGCTATTTTAGCCTTGACCCCAATCCACCGCTTCCCAGTT